GTATCCTAGTTTAAATATAAACTATAATAGAGCTAAACTTTTTCCTAGTGGAAAGTTATGTTTAAACATGATCTTGTCTCATGATTGTCTTCGTTGTCTGGAAACAATTTAATGAGATGATCAAAATAATGTTTTTCACAGGTGATAGATGAACTATAAACAAAGCAGAACTCAATGAGATGTGAGCAATCCTTCAAACAACCTTTCGTGGACTATGTGGCTGCAGTTTTCCATTCTGCAGTGGGCAACCCATTTCAAACCAATGTTTAAGGGTCAAAGAGTCTTCTTCCACTTAAGCCTTTGAGAAAGCTGTTGATGAAATCAAATTAATAGTACAAAAGCCAAATTGTTTTCTCTTTCTCTGAGGAGCACGCCTGAAATCAGAGAAATGTTTACATGTTAGAAGAGTGGGTTTGTCCTCCTGAACAAACTGTCATGTTTTGTAATAAATAAATGCACCAACAATGTTCAAGGAATATTAACACATGGATACTGGCATCTCTCATCTGTTTCATCGCAATTTCAACAAACTTTACTATCAATCATTACAGAAACAATTGATTTAGACCACAAAAATTCAGACACAGGACATCTGGGTGGAAAGCCCGGAGATCTACAGGTGCTCATCAAAACCTGAAAACTCATACCTTTGACTGTGAGTCTTTTACTTGCAATCAAAACTGCTGTTATGAGATGAAAATAAGTGGACATGGCCAAAAATTGTTGTATTCTTCTCATACAATGCAATTTAGAGTGATGACTGTAGGACTCTACAAACAAAACACCTTTGTTTGCAGAGGATAAAAAGCAAGACTTAGGCACTATTTCCACCCCACTGAATTTCATACTGAAATTGATTTTTTTTCTCCTTTTATACATAGACAGGTAGCGTTCTGACTACAATCATACTTCAAAGCATTGTGTAGATGGATTTTTAACATGAAGGTCGGGTGACAGTCCTTATACTGAATCCAAGGCTCCTTGTGTTTTATGGCATATAAAAATCTCTGTATTCTCTGTTTTAAGTTGGAGCCATTTGTTGGCTAAGAATTCCAGATGTGGCTTTAAAGCAGTACTTTCTAGCTTTCAGTGTAGTTGCCTTCCCCCCTCAACTTCAAAATGATATCAAGATGAGGTTTCTAGGGGAAACAGCTCTGGAAACGTTGAAGGCATGATTCTGGCACACTCTCCCATAAAGAAGAAAAAAGTGATTTTAATAAAGACTAAATAATGAAAAGGGATACAGGTAAAAACAATCCTAATATCACAAGAGCAGACACAGAGCTTGCAGGAGACACAAAGAAAACCCTTCAATGGACACTTCAAAAGCCTAGTAAAAATCCAGCTATATTCATAATCAAAAGGTTTTTTTGTGAAACGAGAAAGCAAACTTAAAAGAGGCCCTGCTATTCCAGCCCTCAGGCTTTCTTCAAGGTAAAACAACACAACCAAGCAGAAACCTCAGCACAGTGTTCCTTTAAAAAAATCACGTTTACCCAACACCTCTTTGGCTGCTGGCAGGGAACTCTCATATCCCATGAATTGGCCATTGAAGGCTTTAGATTTACCCTAAGCAATCTAGCTTCTCAGCTTCATCTTGTAAAAAACTCTAAACATGAAAAAAATGGAACTAGTGTCACTCTCACCTCTAACAGCATCTAAATCGGGAGTTTTGGTAAGCAAGCTTCCAAGACCAATTAATGAAGAACAATAAAATACTAATTCTGAGCTGTCAGTTGTTTTTGTTCTAGCATCTAATTTGGCCAATGCACTCCAGGCTGAAGTCCCTATTATTTTATGGGTGGTGGTAAAGTATTCTATGTCAGATTTGAGGAGTAGAATACCATTCCCATACTTTTCTTACTTGTGTTCAAGCACCACAGTAAATCTGTTTCCTATAGATGGATAAAGACATGCATGCAAAGTTAAATGAAGATTCAGTTTCCATCTTATTTTTTTCCTGTGGATTCTCCTATATTAAGTGAAAGAATAGTTTTCCCTTTCCCTGTCTTTGGACATGCTGCCATAGATGCAGTAAACTTATCTTCCGACTCACAGGGAAACAGAGATGAGAGCTTTTTTCTGTGTTCCTACAGTGCCTAGCAGAAAAGCTTAAAGGTTCATGACCAGAGATACAAGGGATGCCATGTTTTTCAACACACTTGTTTTTAAAGCTGCCAGCATTTACAGGGAAAGGGAGTAATACATTGATTAGTATTTGGTCAGGATGCTCAAAGTGACTTTTATTCTTTTTGTAGCATGGAAAGGCAGTAAGTTTATCCTTCTGTGTGACCCACCTGTGGAACTTTCTGAAATTAAGGTAACATGAGATGCAAGGGAGGTCCAAACTCAAGCCAATTACAGTGTTGGCTACACAGCTCAGGGTAGCTCGGTTCTATTTCCACCATCACCACCATGCCAAGACATCCACTCATTTTCTCCCTCTCCTCACTTCTACTGAATTATTCAAGATGTAGAATCTTGGTTAGCTCCAAACTGCATCTAAAAAATCCTGTGACCTAGTCTACATTTTCCATTCCACATCTCTGATGTATTACTGACGAGTTAGTGCTCAGATCCCTGACTGAAAAAAAAAAAAAAAAAAAAATCAGGCAGAAGTCAGCATCCTCAGCACTCATTTACTATTTTTCCATCACAACATACACATCCTTCTTTGAAAAGTTACCCTGAACATTCATGTTAGTCAAAAACAGGCATACAAGAGCTCACATAGAAAAACTATCTCAGACATGAAGTTCTTCACAAAAAACTTGTCTTTTTCTTAATAGGTTTCTCATAGGTACTACAGGAATCAAAGTCATCTGGAATTAATCTTTTCACCTAGAAGTGGTAGTAATTTTGTACAATTTATTTAACCTCAAAGATTAGGGTTTGGTAATCTCCACCTACCGCATTAATCCTTGGATTTTGGAAAGCTGTGTCCAGATTGTCCTTGTATCAGCCATAAAGATCGAGGGTGTTATTATTTTCATACACCACATGCCCATAGATCAGAATGATCAGCTAGAAGTGCATAATCATCCTGAGACTGTACAAAATGCACAGGATAATAGCCATAAATTATCCCGTGCAAGAGTAGCACGTAAAGAACCATTTATAAGACAGACCAATGTAGAGGCAGAAGAGGGGGAGCAGGGGGAACACTTTTTGACATTTTTCATCCTGACGAACAGAGTAATACTCATCTTTATTGTGAAAGCAAAATGACCTTTAAAGGACATACTTGGAAGTTCGATTTTGCTGTTCTTCATAAGAACACACTAATAGAACTGCTTAGATTCGTGATTCAGGTATGTATCAGTATTTTTCCAGTTTAAAAAAAAAAAAAAAAAAAAAGAGTTGTTTTAGAAACCAAAGAAATGAGACAATGGAGCTTTTAATTTTCCGAGCTGGAAGGTTAGGTTCCTGCTTGTCCTCATATCCATCACCATGGTTCAAGAGTATTATTACTTTTGTATGGAGTGTTCCTGAGGTCATTGCTCTTTGATGACAGCAGGTGGGGAAAGACAGACATTGGGTGCAATAACCATTACCTCATTAGTCCTGTTGCTACCTCCTGGAAGACACCCAACTGTTGTCTCAGAAGACCCTCAAATGTCATAGCACCCTTAATGAAGCTGAACCTACTGTTAAAAACAGAATGTTAGGACTGGCCAACTGACAATGCTACCCACTGAGATAAGACAGAGGAAAGCTAAAGAAAAAGAGACACCAGCGAAAGAATAATTTCTGGGGTAGCCCTTTCCTGTAAGTATGGTTTCCTTAAATAAGGCAGCTGCAGACAAGAGGAAAAATTTGAACTCTATGGTGAAAACTCGTATGATAGAGGAAAATATTGTTGTATAGAGCAAGTCCTGCCCACAAATCAACCAGATGCTCCTGTTCTTAATCAACATTATGCTGGGAATGCTGAGGCTGTTAGCTTAAAGTTAGAATAAGCCTGAAAGCTTCTTTAATACAGAGCCTTGCAAGGAATGCTTTCCAGAAGCTCTACAACAATGGAGCCTCAGCATCAAAACCAGCTAAGTATGAAAACTAGATCTGCTTGTTATCACTGTTGATTCACATTCATGCTCACCACTCCCACTTATCTTCCAGACTTCATATAGCACATACAGCATTTTAAAAATATTAACTTCTGTAGACTTTCACCTGTGTTTGCTATTCTGCCAAAATATTTTTATTATCTTTCATCATAGCCAGCAGAAGAATCAAACCTGACAGAAAAGAGTCTGAACTCCAACTTCCAACAGCAAATCCTGATAACTCTTGTTCACCTTCATAGTTAAACTTGAAGTTTTGCATAAACAGCTGCACACAGATGAACTGATTCTTTCCTCTGGGTTTCAGACATCCTACATATTGTTACAATCTAAAAAGAAAGTCAAGTTTGAGAAAATATATTCAGCAATTCTAAAGAAATAAGCTTTATACTACCAAAACACAGTCTCAGGTAATTGTTGTGGTTCACTAATAGACATGCCTCTATGTCTTTTCCCAGTTCTGCCTTACTTGCTGTCAGACGTAAGAATCCCATTAAAATGTACTTTCTGTATCTCTTCAGAGACACAATGGAAGAAAAGGAAGTAATTCTCAAAGCATTTGTCTTAAATACTACTGTGAACAAGTGAACAAAGATTGCAAGTAGCATTCGTCCCATTCATTACACAGGTCCCCTCATTACAACCCTACCCCATCCAAAAAAATCTAGATGAACATATGCTTCATCCAGGCTCAGTAGCAGGCCAGTATCAATGTTCTAAAAACAATTTTGAGCTGCTTCCTCCTACATACAACAACAGAAAAGTAAGTTTCTGTGAGAAGGATATGAGAGAGTTTCTAGCTAATAGACTAAGAGACTAATGACTGTTCCACTGATTACCTGCAAATGCTTGAAAAGATCCCAATGGGTCAGTGTTACTTTACACCTAAAGAAGTGCTTCACTTTTCAATTTTTTATGTTTTCCTTTAGCAGTTGATTCACATACTGAGTTAACCAACTTCCGGATTTTTGAAGAATCCTAGAAGAACAACATATGCTTTGTCTTTCAAGCAAGCATAACTGAACCAAGAGAATGAGGTTACTCTCTGGAAACCTTGAAAAATAGCCAGAAAACCTCAGGACTAAGTATTTGTACCACAGGAAATGCCAAGATCCAACGATTTTTTTTTATTTTTCTTGCAATAATTAAACATGAATTCAAGGTTGGTCTGCCATACTTTTTTAAAGTTGTAGTAGGCCGAACAAGTAAGTATATCTGGAACTAAAAACTAGAAAGTTGTATCAAATGAAATAAAACATTCCCTACTGATATCTACGGCAATAACCACATAAAAAAAAATCTGGATTATTTATCAATTCAAAATGAAAACTAGGTATTTTCTTTTATTCATTACTTGGCCATCTTTACAGGTCCACAGCAGAAGAGAATCGTCGATGATCTCCAAAACTAAACAAAGAAAGCAAATTAGTTTAATTATGCTACATAAAAAACCTCTGCTTTTTGATTACATATAGTGAGAAATTAATGTTAAGTGCTTCTGGAAATTATGATGAGATAAAGATGATGACATTTTTACAGATGTTTTAAAAGTTATTTACTTTTTTGATTTATAGATAATCTATCTATAGTTAAGGGTCTAACCATTACATTTTCTCCTACAAACTACTAAAACCAGACAATACCCAGCAGTTTAAATAACATATGAAAAAAGCTGCATCTATTTAACAGCTGCAGAACTCATAGGACAGAGGCAGTAAAATATAAAAAAAAAGACAAGAGTTAAAAATCCTACTGCAAGAATATTAACTGTAATAAAAGAGAAGACATTAAAAACAGCAGCTAGTTAGGTGCCAGGACATAATAGAACCCATAAGGACAGGCAAAGAATGATGCTAAGTTAGGGAGAAAGAGTCTGTTTTCAGAGAAGAACTTCCTGACAGACACCACAACAAAGCAACATGAACGGTGACTGTGTGGTCCCCTTCTCGTAAATAAATCAGGCGTCAAAGGTTGATCTGCAGTTAATAAGAAGCCTAAGCCTTCTCCAAGGATTTGTAGTATTCTGTCAGCACAGTCCAAGCCTTAGGAGCCATGAAGCCTTCCGGTGGGTTTTGTCCTTCTCGAGCCAGCTTGCGCATGCGGGTCCCCGATATAAATTCGAAGTCTTCGTGGCTGAGAGAATAGGAGTGTGGGCAAGGGGGGAGAGGCAGAGAAGCAAGGGGAGGGGGAAAAAAAAACCAACAACATGTTTTAAAAGCAGGCAAAGTTGTTCATATTCCTTCTGCTTTCTTGATACTTTATAAATTTCTTCTTGAAGAGTATAATGCTGTATAGCAACTGTCATTTCCAGACATTTGACCAGCAATGCCAGTAAAACTCGACTATACACCCTCTACAATATTCAGCTTCGGTAACACCTGAGGTTTAGCAACATGGTCCAACTGATCTTCTGCAGACTGGACTGAGTCTGTGCTTCCATCTAGCCTGGCTCCTTCTCTATGAGGCAACAGGGAACCACTTTTGAGAGAGAACCATCTCCTTCCACCCTCCTGTCTCAACCCTCTGCCAAGCAACAGCCGCCATCCTATTTTGCACCTCACCCTGCCATGGCAGCAGACCAGCCTTATGAGCTGGTTGAAGGTTCCAGTGCTGGTTGAAGAAGGCCATTTCAGTGCCACTAGAGAAAGTGCAAAAACAAAATATCACAAAATCTTAGCGAAGTACAGTTTGCAGAATAGAGCAAGTAAAAGCCAGAGTCTAGAGACAAGCTCTACAGCTTCTGCAGCTGGGCCATTGCAAGCCACTGAGCATACATAGACATATATATGCATATGAGTAATGTGGCACAAACTAAAGAAAAAAGCAGGGGAATAATAAAAATACTTTCCCCTAAAGATGATTTTCCCTAAAAAACCAGAATTCAGTTGGACAAATGCACAAATGAACCCAGATCAGGATTATTCATCATTGTTAACATGACAATCTAAATTAATTTTAACTTCTCACGTATGTGGTCATAAGCAGCAAAAGCTCAACAATTTCAACTCTTAGACCTCACAGGACTGAAACAGTAAAAGCAAGACAAGAATGCCAGAGTTCTACCAAATGGTTGAAAGGAAAAATTATTTATTCTTAAATTAAATATGCAATTTTAATTATGCCATTTGCTCAATTTGCAACATGTATGCATTACTCATTCCTGCCTGTTTGAAATAAAAGCCAAGCATTGATCTCAGATGCACATGCCTTAGATAGAAACAAGAGCCAAGTATGTGCATCAGAGGGTAGAACTTGGCTCTAAGTGCTGAGCTATGCTCAGTAGGGTATGGAAGTTAGCAAGACGCAGAAAGCATTCCACAGTTCCCTTTCACAAAACCACTAGCCCCATAACTTTTTGATTTGGATTGTATACATTTACACAGCAGCACTGCCATACATGTCCTTTTCTTACTGCTCTCAATTCAGGACTGTGGGTTTCTCGAGTGTCACAACATGGCAAACAACCCTATTGTGCTTCAATTCTGAAAAAAAAACCAAACCAAAAACCTACATAAAAACGAAAACTTAAAGTTGATGTAAGCCCATGGGAGAAAAATTTATGTCGCTGCTGTTTGTAACACCTGAAAATTTTGTTCCTTGGCAGAGAGATTCCTAAGTATTCACTAACACTGCTTGAAGGTAGCTCGTGTTCTTTGCAAATAACTATTTCTATAAAATATATGTGGGGAAGTGATAAGCCTGGTTAATTCTAGTGAAAAAAATACTAAGCCTTCAGATGATCAGGAAGAGAAAAGTAAAGCAAGTGCTATGAAGTTTCTGCATATGTGGTTTTCTCCACAGTGGGGTAGCAATACTGAAGTTTGAGCATTAAAAAAAAAAAAAAAAAAAAAGTTAACTGCTTTATCCCCTCCTTGATTGTTAAATTTTCACAAATACACTCGGACTTGCCATACAAATTTGCTTCAATAAGACCCCCAATTCCTTTAGCTTCTTGTTATCCCTAGTTGCATAAAAAACAGCTCTAGGAATTGGAGATACCAAGAAAGAGAGAAATGTGAGAAGACGCTAAGTAGATCTATAGAAACTATAAGAAAAGGAAGGAAAAACATGAGTGAGGATCATTTAAGAAACATACTAGATTCAACATCTCATAACATTTCTAGAAATGTTTAAAAAATGCTATTAGAAAGTACAAAAGTACTAATGATGCCCTCTCATTATCCCAATCTTTTCTTTTGAATGGGTTTTTCTTACAAAAAAAAATTACATTAATTAGTAATCATCAAAGTGACTCAAATGAAGCTTTGGCAATATATACTGTATGTTGAAACAATACAGTAATTTTTACCTTTTTAAAAATTACGGCATTTGCTATTTTACCGTTTCCAGTTTAATCTCCACTTTCATACCTAAACCAGAGTATTTGAATAGCCACTCAATACTCATTGTCTTTACTAATGGTTAAAACCAAATCTCTTGAATATCAGAAACTGAGATTTCCACTAAGCAGATATATCTTATCAGTACCAGCACTGTGATGTGACCCACAAGCATTTTGAAATAAAACACAACAGTATGAGTAACTTGCTTTTGTGGAAAAAGAAACCAGAAAGAAGAGTCAAGTGATTTTGTTCATAGTGAATTTTGAGGATATTAGGAGTTACTCTACATAAAATGGATTTGAGCAGAATACGAGAGGGGGGAAACATTTGACCATTAAAGCTGCTATGAAATATAAATGCCAAAGCCATTCAAATACCATTCTCAAATGAGATTGGAATGACTCTTAATGAAACTTAACCCAAGCCTTTTCTGAGCATAGGATTTAAGTGCCATTGAAATTTTTATTCAGTGGCTGCTGGAATTGGCTTTCTTTGAGCCATGCTATGTTAGTAAATGCTTGTAACGTTGATTTGAGCTTTTACTACCAATTGAATTTGACTAGTATTGACATAGTATTTGATGCCAATGCAATTAAAAGCTTTCTCCAGAAGAAAGAAGAAAAAAGGCAGAAATAAATCCACAACAAAAACTTGTCAACAGAAAACCAGTCTTGAAACATATTACATTAGGACTGGTATTTGCTCCATGGCATAGCATCCTAGAACCCACAGTGTAGGAAAAGCCTTACATACACACACTGTGAAATATCCTTACTTATGAAGGATAGGGCTAGGCAGACAGAAAATACACAACTGTGCTGTGTTCTCATACATCTAGCAAAAGGAGAAAAAGAATCTTTTCTTACATTTCAGATTGTGCCCTCCTTCCACACACAGAGCTGTATGTACACACAGACACCCACAGGTGCACAAGATATTTTATATTTGGAACACAGTAAGTTATTTATTCAGAAAAACACAGCAACGAATTTGTGGTGCTAATTAATCTTCCAACTATTCACAGTAACTGAGCATCAGACTCAAAGGACATTACAAACCACGCACAGATTAAGAATCCATACACCAGTTCTTGCCTTTCTTTAATTTACAAAGGCTAATGTTTTAATCTGTTAAATGGATCTCCCTTTTTTCTGTGCATTCAGTAATTTTTTTTACTATAATACCACAAGTGACTCCAGCAACAATGACAGTTCTTTATGTTTTGTTATGAGCTCAAACACTCTAAGAGCAGTGTGTGAGGAGGCTAAGATTTCAAAGACCTTACAATTCTTGTGACAAAACAAAGAAGTTATCACCAGTCTGCAAGTGGGAAACAACTCTATGAAGATGCCCACAGTCCTACAGGAAACATCTGCCGTATCTCTGAGGTGTCAATACAGTGACTGAGGAGAATATTTTTTTTTATTTCAACAATTACTCCCTACAAGCTTAATCTAAGTACAAAATATATCACATAATTGATTTTTCACTTGGGAGCACTGAAGATCAGTCATAATCTTGGGAACCCCAACTTTCTGTTAGGGTATCTGGCACTGTGCAAATGACCTTCTTAGAATTCCCATCCTCTGTGGACAGCAGCATCTGATGCTCTCAAGGTCTTAAGAAATTTAAAGACTCATTATAAAAGTACAGATCATTCACTCATAGTTTTGCCTATTCATAAAAATATGGTGTTTGGAAACAAATGTGTGGAAATAAAACAATAACATGACTTATCCACTCTGGTCTGGCTTCAAAATGACTGCCATGGTCTACCCAGCTGGTAAACTTTAGATCCAATTAATTCCTAGGACAATTCACAGCCTCCTTTTCTGAGGTTCCATCCTTCAACAATTCTCCTTCTCCAACTTCACGCTTCCTGAACAGGATCTGTCATGAGGTAAAATCTAATCTCACAACCCTATTCAGAAGGATTTTCACTGAATTTAAATTTGCCTTTGCATCATCAAGTCATGACTTACACCATCACTCCTACAGGAACAGAACGCTGTCCCTTACAGTGTCGTGCCTTTGTTAAGCCAGTCTGTGTCATGCCTTGGGAATGCCCCATGATGCTGAATGAACCAGCTAGGTTCAAAACCTAACTGGCCAACTCTTTGTGAAAGTAGAACATAATAATGTGATTAGTATCAACACAGGCAGAGCAAATCCTTCACCTGCTGTGAATGAAATTCCTTTTTGACTGGCAGGATGGTTTAAGTCTTCTGAGCTGCTGTAGTATTTCAATGTATCCTAAATTGTGTACTAAAGGTTAATTGAGAAACCATTTTTCACATAGCTATATTAAAGAGGACAGTCAAGTGTGCTTATCTCAGCCTCTTACTATCACTTTAAAAATCAGGTATCACACCAAATTTGGGAACAGTATGGACTTAGTTGGAACAGCAGCTGTCCTCTAAATATGACTCGATAGCATTAAAGCAATCATGACAACCATATTAAAGGTCCTGGGAATGAACTGTATAAGGTTAAAATCTCTCCTCTTCACAGATACCCATGCTTCATTCATATTTTATAGAAGGCATGAACAGTCTGCTCCAGTAACCTTATTTAGGGGTTTCTTTTAGCCAAAATGATCTCATCAGTTTTCTTTCAGGACAAAAAGAAAAAAAAAATCCATTTTTCCAGACACTGCTGTGGCTTTTTTAATTGCCAGACTAATTTCCTTTCTTAATTGAGTTTTTTCTCAGCAGCAGTCTGTGGCTGCATTTTATAGGACAGATCTTCTGTAAAGAATTGGGAATCTCTGCTCACCCAAACAACTACTAT